TATAAAAAAATTTAAGTGATGATATTTATAATATATCCTCAATTATATATCAAAAGGTTTTTATCAAAGTTTAAATTCCCTTTAAAATTTTCGACCAACCCTCAACTCTCCTCACACATTCCACGCCGTCATACAAAGCCACCAGCCTCGTCTGTTTCTGTATCTCTCTGCCTCTCCTTCTCCTGCGGTACCTGATCCAAGCCTTTTCTTTGCCCAAAAGTTGTTGTCAACCAGGAATTTAAATAAGGTGATTTTCCAAACCCTAAACTTAACTTTTGAAGATTCTTCTTAGTTATTAGCTTTTGAGTTATCTGCATCACTCTATTATATTTGATTTTCTATTTTCATCTATACTCTATCTCTGTTTACTTTTATGATAAATGGGTTTTTTTTTTGTTTCACCGTTTTTTCCTTTTACACTGCTATCTTCTTTCTTTTGTTCGAACGTTACAATGCTGTTTGCGGCCGCTGTGACATTTGTTCACGCCGCTATCGAGGTCCGCGACTGCGGAACTACAATGCCACAGCTATTTGAACATTGATTGTTACATCCTCTTGAATTTTTTTAATAAAATTTAGTTAATATAAAAATTTGTATATGCAACAGCTTAATTCCAGCTCGAACTGGAGTATGAGTATGGAAAACGAGGGAAGGGGCCTAATTTAGTTGATTTCAAGCTTAAAATTGATCAAATCAAGTTTTGAATTGAGTTCGAGCTTCTCACTATTTGGGCCTCAACTCGGCTCAAAGAACTTAAATTCAATCACTTTGTTTTCGGTTCTGAAAATAGCAATGAAAGTTGTTCCACTTAAAATTTTATTGTCTTTAATCTATTGGAGTGTTATCTTACTTTGCTGCTGCTTATTTGAAGGATAAGTAATATTTTGAGACGATAAAATGGTACGGCCATACGCTATAAAAGGGAAGAAACGGAAGAATAGAGAAGAGAAGTATGATCAAGAAGAACAAGTAGTAGTAGAAGAGAAAGAATCAGCAAAGAGAGCTTCTATTGAAAAGCCAACAAAGGAAGTTGAAGTTGAAGAAGAGGAAGAAGGCAAAGCTGGAACAGATGAACTTGTGGGAATCCCAATTGTGCCCAGTGATAAAACGTCAAAAAACAAAAATGGGGTCATTTTTGTTCTTGAGAAGGCTTCCTTGGAAGTTGCTAAAGTTGGAAAGGTATATTGAACTTGGACTTGGTGTATATATATATTGTGCTTTACATTTCTGTTATCATTGACAAGTATGAACTTCTGTTTGTATATATGCTGTTTGCTAAGTAAAATTTGGTTTTCTACTGTAATTTATCTTATTGGTTGCTAATTCTTAGAGTTTCCAACTCTTGAACTCGGATGATCATGCCAATTTCTTGCGGAAAAATAACAAGAATCCTGCTGATTACAGGCCTGACATAACACATCAGGTTGTTTTCCTAATCTTTTCTGATATTTATTTCTGCATAGTTATTTTGTTAAAATTATGATGAATTAATTGGTACTGCTGCATTCTCAATGTGTTGAGACTTAAGACTAGGCTGAATTTAAAAATCTTAATGGAGACTTTAACTCATAGTCACATGGATCGCGGTACGTTCCGGTACGGGAACGTGGAACAGGATCGCAATTCGCTAGGTCCCTAAAATTCGGTACGAGGGGGGATAGGCTCATTTCGGATCGCTCCGGTAGGATGTACCAGTTTCTTAGGTTGCTATTTTTCTACATCAAATTTTATAAGTAACTTCAAGACTTCAAATATCTTAGAGTAACTTCAATAATACATATTTCATTCAGTAACTTCAATACTTCAAAGTTCAAAACAAATTTAACACTTTAAAAGTCAATTGGGTCGATTGGATGGTCAATTTTGGATCGTATAAGCTTTCGTTCCGTGTTTTGGATCGCAGCGTACAATATGTAGATCGTGGGATATTGAGCGATTTATGTAACCATGCTTTAACTCTAACTAACTGCTAATTCTGCCATTTCTCTATAGGCTCTTCTCTCGATTTTAGATAGCCCGGTCAATAAGGCTGGGAGATTGCAAGCTGTGTATGTTAGAACCGAGAAAGGTGTACTTTTTGAAGTTAAACCTCATGTTCGAATTCCGAGAACATATAAGCGGTTCTCTGGTATCATGTGTAAGTTATCCTGCTGAGGTTACGTCTCTTCTGCATTTTTAATACTTTTACCAGGCTGTTTTTATTTACCTATTCAACAATCATGCAGTGCAGCTGCTACAAAAACTGAATATAACTGCAGTTGGCAAGCGTGAGAAACTTTTACGAGTGATAAAGAATCCTGTAACCAATTATTTTCCGGTGAACTCTCGCAAAATAGGTGGGTTTGACTTTGGTTGTTGTTTCTCTTTTTGTCAATACAAATCTGTTTTATTTTCTTATATATTTCAAGTTATTTTTCTTGCACATCAGGTTTCTCATATAGCTCAGAGAAATTGGTTAAAATGAGTAAATACGTGGATGATGTTGGTGATGATGTGAATCTTGTCTTTGTGGTAAGTCTTGTGTGACATACAGTTCTTTTCTCTCTTCTCTGTTCATAATTGTTTTCTTATCCTATTTCTGTGCATTTTTCTCAGGTGGGTGCAATGGCCCATGGGAAAATAGAGACAGATTATATAGATGATTTTATTGCTAGTAAGTTCCACGTTCTTTTGTTGTGAAAGTTTTGAGGATTTTGATTCATGAGCCCATGAATCCTTAAGAACCATTGAACCAAGTAGAATACAGGAGTAAAGCTATAAGGTGATAGGATAGATAAAAGCAATTATTGGTGTTTAGTTATAAAGCCTGGAGTGTAAAACTAAGTGGAATGTTTCCAATGCACTCAAGATCCTTTTTACACAAGTATTTCTGGGGCAGGTGGTGTGGGGTTTGAGATATATGTACATTGCCCATCACCATGTACATTGCCCATCACCATTGCGTTTGACTTATTTCTGGATATAGGTTTAGGTATATATATATAACATGTACTTTTATCCCAAGTTTTAGCTTATTATATTTAAAATTGCCATATTTTACAAGCGTGCAGTTTAACTCTGATCATGCTTAAGTGGAGAAGACCTACATCACTGTCTCATATAGTTTTATTTCTCCCTTTTTCTTGCAGTTTCTGGTTATCCACTAAGTGGTGCAATGTGCATTGCAAGGATTACTGAAGCTTTGGCAGATAAGTGGAATATATTGTAACCCTTATTATCTGTGTCAATGAAGTTGATTTTGGGATATATATATATCAGTGCTGTACCATTATTTCATATTAAAAATACTGTAATTTTACCTACGGGCCCAAAAAAATGTAGTTTTTGAAGGAATTTGCATTTCTTTTCTTTATATGCATAGGTAGTAGGAAGAAAACACTTTTTGTGAACAATTATTTTGAAGAGATATTTTTACCTTTGTTTCATGTTTATATGGATGTTGAAGATTGTTTACATCTAGGGATGGATCGAAGGGGTGGGTGGAGGTGGGGTGTTCCACATTTTGTAAAAATTTTAAATTCTTATATAATTTAGGTATTTTCTTTGAAATTTTACTTTTGTCGATAAAATTTTATAAGTTTATCCCCTCTATCATAAAATCTTAAGTATGCCTATTTTTATATTTAGTTATATCCATATTAGTTTTATATTATTTTGTTTCTTCGTATCTTATTTTTTTAGTTAAAGATTCTTAATTGAATGTTATTAATTGATATTTGTATTTTATTAATCACTATAATTTCGATAGAGGTAGAGTGCAAAGTAGGGCTGTAAATGAGACGAGACATATAGCGAGTTACTCGAGATCGACTTGATCAATGCTCGATAAATACTCGGATCGAATGGACTCGACTCGAACTCTAGTTCTTAACGAGCCGAAACAAGTTACTTGATACTCGACTCGAAAAACTCGTGAACAGTTCGAAAATCTAATATATTAAGATTTTATTTTTTTTAAAAAAAATTTATTAATAATATTAACATTTATGTATTGATTTTTTAAAAAATATAGTAAGATTTTTATGTGTTTAAGGTTCAGGTTTGAGTTTGAATTTGAGACTTCAATCGAGTTAAGTTTAAGATTTTTTTTTCATTTCGAGCCTTTTCGAGCTGCTTACGAGCTTCAGTTCAGGATTCCGAGTTCGATTCGAACTTGAAAATTTTAAGCTCGCGAGTTTTCGAGTCTAATCGAGTTCTATTTCAGAGTTTTCGAGTCAAGTTGAGCTTAACAATACTCGAACTAGACTTGTTTACACCCCTAGTGGAAAGTCCTTTAAATGAAATAATTAATTAAAATAATTTGACATTCAATATTAAATTATTAAAAATTTAATTTATGAATAAACTATTTAAAAAATAATTTGACATAAAATATTAAATAAAAAAAAATTTGATGCAAGTGTGTGTATCTTATATTTAAAATTTTGAATGAAGAATTGATAAGAAAATTTTGGTGCTCAATAAACTATTACTTTAAATAAAATATAGTTGAAAATTTATTGAGTTGTCTCCGTAAGTAAAGGGAGTATTATTCTCTTTGGACGATTTGAATTTGACCAATTGTGTTTACAGAGCGTATTCATTGTTAGTGGTTAAAAAATTATGAATTATAATTATCATAAGATTATTTAAAAAATCGTGTTGGAATATATAACTTTGCATATCTCTTTACCGAACTATTATTTTTAGATAAAATTGTATTAATAACATTATAAAATGAGAAAATAAGGAGAAAACCTGAATTATTTTATAATTTATTAATATGAAGTATGTAGAATATTTTTTCTAAATTTTATATTTATAAATATAAAGAATATATATGATATAAAATTTTAATTTTAATAGATCTCAAAACTTAAGATCCATAATTTTAATTACAATGAAACACACCATCCAGAATTGTTTTGTAAAAATTGTCAAAAAAAAAAATTGTTTTGTAATATTTGGCTGTCTTTGGAATGATCTTTTAAATCATGGATTAGAACAAAGATGAAGAATGAAAATATAAATTATGTTTTATTTTCTTTCACTTTCCTCGCAATTGGGTATTAAAATGTTTAGATCCTATACAAACCCAGGAAAGGCATATTAATTGATCCAATCCACAAATGATCACCTTTCTCTTGCACTTCACTAATGGAACTCATTTTAAGCTGTACAGTTTCCAAAACTTCACCCTCTTCACTTATCCTCATCGCCAACCCACTCGCTCTAAACTTGGCCAAAACCGAATGCGCCTTGGTAATGGCGTCCACAGGCAGTAGCCGAATCAGAGCATTGCCTAGCTTTGGACACGAAAGAATCCATGACACCATCTTGTTTCTTGGTGAATGTATCGCCACCCAAAATCCTCCTCTGGGGCTTCTTTTGATGTTGTCTGGAAATCCTGGCAGTTGTGCCAAAGTTTCCAGTTTTCCGGCTTTGGGTGTCGTTAGCCAGTACTTTAGGATTCGGCAATTGGTGGTGTCGGCGAAGACGAGAAAGCTGCCGTCTTTGTTTAATGCCACTCCGTTTGGGAATGAAAGAGTGGATAGGAGGACGGTGACTTTTTGCTTGCCTGCTCGTATTTCATCAGCCTTCCTGTTTTGTCCCCACTTAGAACCACTGATATGTAATTCCTGCAATACATTTGTACCACTTTTCAATCTTTCTTATTTAAAGGACTATACCTGTTCAGAATTTATTATGTAGAATTAGTAGTAAAAAAAATATTGTTATTCATATAAGATTCAAGTTTAAATATTTAAATTTATAGGGTGTGTTGTTAATAATTTGGAAAGATTTAAAATATATATTTTTTCATAAGCAGCTCAAACTATTTAAAAGAAAAAGAGAATTGTAATAAGAAGAACGAATTTATAAAATTTTAAGAAAACAAAAATAAATAATAAAATATATTTAAAATATACAATAATTCAAAATTTTTAGAGTAACTATTGCCCCCACCTACGTCCCTCAACCTTGGGATGATTTTGAATGAAGAATTGACAATTCAAAATATACTAGAGTGGGATGGCCAACCATATCTATAGTTATATAGGGCAGTTAAGAGTCGTGTCGCTTTAATATTTGTCAAAAAAATAAGATAGAGATGTGTACCTCCTTGGGTAAAGAGAAGAGCTGTCGGTAAAATAGATGGTTCCATCAGATTGGTTGATGTCCAAGCTATTGGTGAATCCGAAAGGGATAGCTTCGGCATGCGTCGCAATGGGAGTGGCCAACCCTCCTTCGGGACCGAGTTTTAGCAGTCCCATGTATGCATCCGCGATGTAAAGCTCACCGCTTGCCTCGTTGAAACACAGTCCCAATGGACGCCCGCAAATATGCTCTCTTCTTTCCTGATCCTGTTGCCCTTCGCACCCTTCTCTGCCCAATTTCATCTCAATGGCGTTACTAATTTGATGAGATAATGGTTTGGAAAACAATAGATCCTACGAGGTGTTGAAGAAATTATTTTTTAAATTAGAGTAGAACGAGTAGTGCATAAGGAAAGACAGTCGGATTACCTAGTGTTTTTTAAGAAGACGCTTAGAAGACACGACACGACGTATTCCTCAAATTACATATAGTATGAACTCAACCTTAGTAGAGTACCAACTTAAAAGACATTGTGTCTTGCAAGCGTTTTCCATGTATTGTTCATTCCACTCCAATTGAAAAAATAATTTTCGATACACCTAGCTATTTTCTCATCACATTATCTAAAGAATTTTGCCCCCAAATATATTACATATTTTATTTTTATCAGCATGTGTCGAAAAATGTCTCTAACATTTGATTAAATAGTTATTTTATCCCTTAATATTTTATTTTAGTGTAAAAATCTTATGTATAGATATAAACCATTAATCAACAAAAGATTAACGCTCTAAAATATGATTTTTTTTATTTTAAAATAAAGTGTTTGGGTCCAAATAAAGTGTTATTTAACTTTTAGGTTACGTGCCTTGAGAAGGCATAATTTAACCTTTCAAAACGTTATAATATTTTTTTTAGTTTACTTAAATAAGGGTTGGACATTTCAACACAATCAGATAAGGATTAATATTTTCGAGTTTGCTTAAATAAGAGATCGACGTTTTCAAATATGTTTAAATAGTAAGGAAAAATAATTGTTGCATGTCTAGAATGTTTGGTCCTTATTTAAACATATTAAAAAAAATTAGACCCTTATTTTAAAAAATTAAATTCTTATTTAAATAAATTCAAAAATATTAAATATTGATTGGATTGCTTTAAAATGTTATAGCTTTAGGTTACGTGGGCCTAATTTTCAATAAAACAATATAATTGAGCGATTAAATGGGAATAAAACTGGAAAATTGATAATATCAATGAAAACAAACAAGGCTACTTGAGCAATAAAACTTTCTTAAATTATAAATGACATTTCAACCAACATTTCTTATCACACTTTTTATATTTTGCCAATAATGAATTGTGTGGAAACGACTAAACTCCAAATAATGTTATTATCCCAAGTTTTAATGATTATTAATGGGTAAGATGTTTAAATAAAGATTTAAAATTTTAATAGTTATTTATATCAGGGTCTAATTTTTTAAAAAATTAAAAAAATTAATATTGTTTTGATCTGTTCAAATAAATGCTTAGCCTTCCCTAAAGATCAAATAAGAACATAACGTACATACTAGAGTTCGTGTGAGGGATGATATTTAAGTCCAAAAAAGTATTTTTTTTTATTTTAAGAAATGAAGTGGATTTGAGGGGGGAAATTAAGATAAAAGAAACTAATAATAATGGTTGTTTAGGGTTTATTTGCAGCAAACTAATAACGACAAGTATACATCAACAAAGTTGATTTAAGTAATAAATAGTTTGATACAATTTAGATAAGAGTTGGTTTAAGTAATAAACAGTTTGATAAATTTAGATATATATTTTTTTAAGTTTTAGATATTGTGTATCCAAAAAACCTTACTAAAAGATTCATCTAATAAAAACAGTTATGCGGAACAAATCAATCAAGATAGAACCTTGAAAAATCGGGAGAGCAATAAAAAAATAATAATAATGACAAGTTTGCTTGTGGTGTTTTATTTTCAAATATTTTAATTAGTATATGTTCATAATCTTTTTTAATTATTGAGAATATCTACGTACCTTATAAAGATAATTATTTAAACCTAAATTTTTAAAAAAAGTAATATTTTCTTTCCATTATCGAAATCGCTCTATGAGTTTAGGTAGGACGTTTATATTTGCAGCGTCAAGATAAAGAGAGCATAGGTTTGTGGAAAGGCGATGGCAAATATAAGCCACACAGCCTTAGCGAGTGAAAGGCATCTGCAATCCTACACACGTCACTAGCTAAAATACGAGACGACAAGATAATAGGTTTAAATATATCATATATCCCTCTGTTTAAATATAAAAATAGAGAAAAAATTGTTCTATCTTTTTATAAATGGTATGTCATCAAAATAAAATCAAACGGTCGTAAGAGGATAAATAAAAATTAATAAAACCAAACATGTAAAGACGTACATGTTTGTGGCGTAAAGATTGCTTATAGGAAGAGGAACACGAAAGAAAATTCTCATACATACATACATACCTGTTTTGGGAAGTCGTGCCAAAATTGATCCGCCGATGTTCATTTGGTTGCCACTTGATGATCCGACCGTCCGATACTCCAACGTAGGGACCATCTCCAAGTGGGTCGAATGCTACACTTTCAGGTCCGACCGCATCAATCGGCACAACTTCCATTTGCCGAAGCTGGCCGTTGAAAGGGTTTTGCACAATGAGGACTGCCGAGAAGAGGACGATAGTGGCCACGGCTATGAAGAGTTTTGAGGTCATGTTGAGATGACTTTGAAAGGATGAAGAAAGACGAAGGGGTGTGTGGACAAAGGCAATGCAAAAGAAATGAATATATTTCGTTTCATTTTATAGTGAATTCTTGAAGATTAATTGACGCTGAAAGTGCCTATCACTTTATTATAGGGAATATATCAGTTAGTCTATTTACTATTAAATGTATCAATTTAGTCCCTCTATTATATGATGCAAATTAATCCCTCTACTACTGAAACTGGTTCTAGTTAGTTTATATATTATTAAACGGGTTAATTTAGTCCCTTTACTAGTAAAAAGAATCTAATAAGGTCAATTGTTGTTTAACAAAGTTCAGATTTGTATACCTTTTATAGTTTTATACAGTGACAAAGCTACCATTATAGTGGAAGCGGATTATAGGTGGCAAATCAAGTCTTCTGTTTGGGATCAGGTTCGGGTTCAGTTTCAGGTTGGGTTATTTAAGGTCTAGACTATTCAATTTACACTTGATTTGGGTCAGATCAAATCTAATTCAGATTTAGTTCATGTCTATGATAAGCCCCTGAACTTTAAAAAAAATTAATTTGGCTCCTGAATTGAATAAAAATAATAATTTAGCCCATTTATCACATCATCAACTATGTCACTAGTCATCGTGGACCGCCACATCAACACCGTAACAATCAATGACGAAAATTGTTGGTCAAATGGTCACATTGGATTCTTTTTCTAAATTTGAGGGCTGCATTGAATGCAAAAATAGTTCGAGGATCACATTGATTTTTTTATAAAAAGTACAAGGACCTCAGGTACCCTTTTGCTTAGTTTTTTTAATTTTCAATAACTCTGCCTTTATGACACGTTTTCACCTGCTTTTGTACATTTTTTTCTTTATCGGTCGTTTGACTATTTTTTTCTTTTGTTTAATTTTTTCATGGTTGGATTTGATGTGTCGCGACTGATCAAGATAATGTTTTTTTATTATTTTGTTGATCATCATTGCTTTGGACTCTCAAATTGGACTTGGATACATGATTTGTGTCCGTAGATAGTTTTCTCACGATGCACGATTCTAATTTGTGTTTGTCAGTGGCCTTTCAATAGTTTAATTCCCTGTTATGATTCATTTGCCGATGCAGTCATATTTATTTATATATATATTTTGTTTGATTTTTTTGGATGAGTTTTAACATTTTCCTTGTATGGTCCTTCTATGATCTCTAGTGGCTAGTTATCTTGTATTATTAGTTATAAAAAATATTCTAATTATATGTTTAGTGTTCAAACTTCATCATAATTTTAAACATGTTCTCATTTTAATTAAACTAGCATCTCTATTTGCATTAAAAAAACTAACTACATTAATCTCATGAGACATTTATAAAAATTATATTAAACATTTAGAAAGTGCAACCACCACGTTAAAAAATTCAACAAAATGCATGGAACATTGGTGTCATTAACCCAATAACATTAACCAACTACTAAATAAAGCATTTTATGGTAAATTACAAATTTACTCACTTATCTTTATTACTTCTCCTATTTCTCTCATTGTACTTTAAATTTTTTAAATTTACTCACTAAACTTTATACCTTTAACAATTTTGTCACTCCCTATTATTTTATTATTATTTTTCTATAACTTGACATTTTATAAATATTATAAAATATAAAATTAATTTAAAATAAGTAATAAAATATTATTTTATTATTATTAAGTTTAAACATATTTAACATAATCATCGACATTTGTCTTCATCGTTGACCACTGTTGGTCTACGGAATCGACGATTATTTGATCCTAAATTGTATTGGGAGACTCGCTTTGACATGTTAAGTCCTAATATGATGGTTGTTTCACCGTAAAATGTCTCAAAACTCGCAAACCTCGACTGAAACAATTTGGTTTCCTCACTTTTGATCTCTTATTTGTGGACTTCGAAGTATGTTCCGACAAAAATGAGCTCATACGCGGACTCAGGGGATCGAGACAAAGCGGTCAATGAGATCTGAGATCGAATGACCACCATCTATGGCGTTGATGGTGGCGTCCAATGACAATGAATTGTAGATGCCGAATAGTTGAGTTTAATTTTATATTTTAAATTATTTTTACATTAAATAATAATAATAAATGCCATGTCATGCCAAAATAATAATAAAATAATTTGTATTAATTAAAACATGAGCAATTCAAAAATTCAATGTGTAAATTCAATAATTAAAAGTATAGTGAATGAAATAGGAGGGAGAATAAAGTTCAATGAGTAAATTTATAATTTTCCCTTAATTTTATAATTTGGTTGTTTTATGGTGTTCGAGGGAGATTAATATCAAAAAGAAAGAAAAAAAAAACCCCTTGATCCAGCTTTATTATAGGATAGTAGGCTGCCCCCAACGCCAGGTTGAGAGTAGCTTCCGTGGAAGACCTCCGGCAGTCAGAATTATGAATTGCCTACCGTGGACTCAATCCCACGACCATAAAGTTAAGAGCCTTGCGTTCTACAAACCGAGCTGGACGGGCAATTCAACTTGTTTTATTATATAAATATACATATATTTTCCGAATCACTACATGTGATTAATTTATAATTTTAATCCCTAAATATAACGTTAGGCAGGCTCATCTTTTACTAGTGTTCATGAAAATGATTATTATAAATGAATAATATGTCTAATTACAATATGATAAGTTGAACTCATTAAGTATTCTCAATGATAACAAAGAATGTTATATTCCTTAAAGGTATTGCAAGTTGTTCATGTGTTGTCAATTTATTAAAAATATTTTAAATTATTTTATAATTATCTCATACTATTAAAAAATACAACACAAAAATTTGAGATAATGCATAAAACACATAAACATATATAGTCATAAAAGCCTATGCATGATTTTTGACAATTTGATCCTTAAATTCTTTTAGTATAATTGAACTTTAAGATTGGAAAATGCTACATGACTTAATCCCTTCGTTTATATTATAAAATGAAATATTATTTTTTAAGGATCCGAGTTTGAATAACTATGTTTGCAGAATATTTGTACGTTGTCAATAAGCTAATAAAATTATAAATATATATTACTTTATAATTTTCCAAAACTATTAAAAGGGTGTATGTCCACATGGACAATTAAGATAGCGACATGCATTAATATTTTTTAAAATATCTTTCATTTATAGTTAAATTAAATATTTATATGTAACAAAAAAATAAATACTTATATATTAAATAAAAATTAGTATGATCAATTTAATATATTATTATGAATATTTGTTATTTATGAATGCCTGTTATAATTAAAACTCTACGTATTAAATAGGATATGGATGTATTTTATTATTAAAATTTTATATCTATTCATTTACGGATCCATAAATATTTTTCAGGTTGGGTATCCTCAGTAAAATGAATTACTAATATAAAGAAATTCAGATTTCATGGTGGGCAGTGTCCTCCCTGAACAAAGCATGTATCCGCTATTGTATCTATTAAGATTAGATTTCTGTATTATATCTACTCATTTAAATTATAAATATAGAGTTTGAAGAAAAAATTATATATACTCCATATTAAAAAAAAATTAGACATTTCCCTCTTTATTTATCATATCTCTCGTTTCTTTTTCTTCTTTTACTCTATTTTATAATTGTTATTACCATGAATTCAGTCAAAGAATTTTGTTAAAAATCAAGTTTCACTTTCCTTACGGTTTAAGGTAATTTTTCCAAATTTTAAATCTAATCCTAATCTTATTTATAGGAGAGAGGAAGGTGGAACTCTAGGAGAAGAAAAGAGAGTGTTCCTAGTAAATCTAGAACCTATAACCTAAAAGAATATGATGGAACAAAAATGAGCAGCTTGATCAACCAACTAGATGTGGTTGCTCGGTTTAAGGTAATTATAAACTTATATTATTAATGTAACACCCCTAACTCGTACCTGACCCGAATACGAGTCCGAGATGTCACATTGCCTTTTAAAAACAATATTCTTACCAAATAACAGAATATTTGAACCTATTTTAAGAAAATATGATAATATAGTATTAAATAATGTTTGTTATAAAATTTTGAGGTAAAAACGTATTTATGAACAGTAAAATACAGTTTGTTATAAATCAGCTCTTACTGGAATAAAATGAGCTGACTTAGTCAATCTGTCTACAATCACCCAGATTGAATCTCTTTTGTTTGGAGTTAAAGGTAACCCCGTTACAAAATCCATCGTTATGTTCTCCCATTTCCATTGAGGAATCGACATTGGTTGTAATAGTCCCGATGGAACCTGATGCTCAGCCTTGACTTGCTGACAAGTCAAACACTTAGATACAAATTTTGTAATGTCTTTCTTCATTCCAGGCCACCAATATCGACTCTTGAGGTCTATATACATTTTGTTTCCTCCTGGGTGCATCGTTAATGGATTACACTAAGCTTCCGTTAATAAATCATTCTTTAACTCATCATCATCTGGAATCGCTAGCCTCCCTTGATAATATAGGTTCCCATAAGCTTTCATCTCATAATCTGTACACTATCCGTTCATTATTTGTTGTAGCTTCTTTGAACACTTTTCATCACTAGCTTGCAATTCTTTAATTCGATCTAGCCACGATGGCTTCTGAGTCAATTCAACACAGATAGCACCATCTTCACTTAATGATAGTCTAGCATCCATAGCTCGTAAGGCTGCAAACATCTTTCGACTTAAGGCATCCACTACCACATTTGCTTTTCCCGGATAGAAATCAATCACAACATCATAGTCCTTGAGAAATTCCACCCATCTTCTCTGTCTTAAATTCAACTCTTTCTGAGTCATCAAGTACTTTAAACTCTTGTGATATGTATTTAAATAACATCTTTCACCATACAAGTAGTGACGCCAAATCTTAAGAGCGAACACTACTGCAACCATCTTCAGATCGTGCGTTGGATAATTCTTTTCATGTGGTTTTAATTGCCTCGATGCATACGCTACCACTTTACCATCTTGCATTAACACACATCCCAAGCCATTATGGGAAGCATCACTATAAACCATGAAATTCTTATCAGACCCA